AGATAATTATAAAATTCTTTTATATTTAATTTCATCTCGTTCAAAATAATGCATTAATTTCAATTCTATTTTAATGCATAAACACCGCATGCACACATATGTATATACATAATATAAATGTCTAATGTATGTATATAATGTATACCGCATCGTGTATAACATTTTCCAACTAACTTTCTTTTACTTTATTAAGAAATTATGTTTGAGTAAAAAATAAAACGAAAAAAACACGAAGAAAAACGAAAAAAAGAGAAAAATCTAAAATGACAAGTAAATAAAAACAAGAAGAAAAAATTTTTTTTTTGCTTTATTACAATAATTAATTGAACAGGAACCGGAACTATTATTATTGCGGTTTATTATCATTCATTGATTTTATTAATCAATGAAAATGGTGTAAAAGTATAAGTAATGCATAAAATATTCGCACAGAACCACACAAAATGTATATATGTATGTATGTAGCTACTCATTATCGGGTCAACAATATTAAATGTACATAATATATTATTATGCGGTTTAAATCGATGTACAGTGTTGCCGTGCATGTTATAGATTTAAATTTAATTAAAATTCTAAATGTTTCGGTTTGTTTCTCGGATATATTTTTTTATATATTAATTAAATATTACCGTATAAAATCAATATCTATAAAATTTTTACTACATTCGAACAATACCTTTTTATAAAACCCTCAACTGGCCTTTCAATACCTTCTGGAACCAAATTTTATTTAAAATTCCTCTCTTAAAACTTTTTTCCACCATTTTTCATTCATTAATATTTAACTGTTTAATTATGTTGTAGTTAACACTAAGGTAGGCGATAACAGAGTGTAGCAAATACAGACAATTTAATTTTGCCAATTTGGCTGATAAAACTGGTTTAAATCTATTCGTATAAAATTTAAATTAAAATTTTAAGAAGAATTCTCTTAAATGACAAAACGAAAGTTAGGGGCAAAAAAGAAATTCCATGATAATGCCCAAATTTAAAGAGCATAAAAGTCTTTGAAGTTCTATATGGAAATTTTGCACGTAGCGTAAATTATACGACAAAATATTTTTAACTTTATACTTTATTATTTATAATCTATGTCGGGTAAAAAAACTCTTATATAAATGTAATCATAAAGAATCATAAATAATTTCAAAATCCTAAATATGTATGTATGTATGTATATTTACGTATATATAAAAATTTGAAATCATCATAATTTATCGTAAAAATTATGTGAACGCATTTAACAGCAATGTCAAAATGTATACGTCTACACATACATAAAAATTCTTATATGAATACAATGTAATGTATTGAAATTCAACTTTGAAAATATGTCGGAACTTCCTAAAATAAAAATCAACAAAAAAAAAAGAAAAAATTAAAAAAATTCTGCATCCGTTTTTCGTTTATTTTTGTTCTTTTTTTCTCTCTGTTCTGTTTCTGGTTTTAAAACACATGTTTTTTGTTATACGAACGTATGTTCGAAGGGTATTACAAATTTACAATTCCGTTTGTAACGAATATAAATTTTGATCAGAGTCGAATTCTGAGTTGATTTAAAGCAATGCCTGTCCGTCTGTATAAGCGCCAATTCAAAAAATAATTGAGTTAAATTTATCAAATTTTTTTGGTCAATACAGTTACAGAAGAACAATGAGAAAAATTTATGTTAAAACCTTGTTTGATTTGGGTCTGATCTAGATAACAGGTCGGGTAGCTGTCTTTCAACTTGAAAAATTATTTGTTCTTATTTTGGAAATTATTGGAGATACGGGATTGAAATTTGGCCAAAACGCAAACAGTAGCACGGTTATTATTTTCGTAAAATTTAATTGAGATTTCAGTAATAAAGCTGAAACTAATTTCAGAAATGATTAAGAATTGAGTACTGAAATTTGCCCAATTATGTAAATTAACTTGACCAATTAACAGCTTGGTTAAAAGTTTTTGAAAACCATGAGTTTTTATTATGTAATATCTATACTATTTCAAAAATTATTCGCAAAATATCTCGAAGAATATTGAATTAAATTATAATAATAGAGTCATTATTTTTGTTAATTTAGAATTATTAAATCACTTTTTAGAAATTATACAAGTACACTGTATAGTGCCAAAGTTTAATATGAACTGTGTGAAAAATATGATCTTAATTTAAAAACAATATGGGTTGTATGAATCACGCATTGTTACGTATCATGCACAGAGTTGACACGGTTAACGCTACCTATTTTCGTTTTTTTTATATTATGTTGTATACACATTGTGATTATTAAATGTAACATGCATATGAATTTCTTGTATGAAGTTGTATTTGTGTTACTTTGTTTGTTTTCGTAGACGGGAAGAAAATTAAGTGGTAAAAGGGTCTACTTATAGAAATATAAGAAAAAAAAAACAAAAAAATTTAAGAAAATTTTCAAACCACGTGTTGTCTTTTAAATTATGTACATTTTATTATGTAAGCATTATGTCTATACTTGTAATTATAAGGGTTTAGTTTTTGTTATACATAAAGTTCTACTTTAAAAGTCTTACATAATGTAGTCACTCACATCTATTATAATTAATGTGTGTATATGAAAGAATGTAGAATACTTTTTTACTTCCTTTATTTCGTCTTTTCATTTTAGAATAGGGAATTTACGATTTATTCTTCATATTAAATTTTTGACATGTCTTTTAAAGAGTTAAGTCGGAAAAAAAAACGAGAGAGAGTTGACGATATCAACTCTTAGAAATTTGTACGAATATTTTCTAAAAGTTATATGAAAGCTTGCTTACAGTACTGTCCATTCGGTTTATTAAAACACTTTAGTAGACTCTACTATTTTAATTGCTTGTGTGATTTTTTGAGCGCTATAGATTTTAAAATTCTTGTGATGTTAGTAAATTAATTTTGGAGTTCAAAAGATTTTATTGTTTTCTTAAGATAAATAAAATTTTAGCTAGACTTACAAGAAAAGAAGAGAATTAGGGAAAGTTTTCCAATTTCATTAAAATTTGGTCTGAATTTTAAGCACTTAATAGTGTTTCAACTATATTTCGACTCAAAAGAGAGTATAATAATTTATGAGAAAATTTAATAATGGTTACAATAATTTTTACCAAAGGGTACGAAACTTAAATCTGATTTGTCAAAATTATTTCAAATCTGAAAGATTTCCCAATATCTCGTCTTCTGACCATTGTTTACGTTACTTTCGCTTTTTTTCCTAATTTGTTTTTAATATTGATTAATCGCTTATTCATTTATTCGTTTTGCCTAAAAAGAGGACAGTGTAGGGGTATTAGATGATATTATGCACAAATAGAAATTCTAATTTTCATTAGTTTTAGTTCTTATAATTGATATTTTTGCCTAGAGTGCGATTTATTAATAAGTCATTTTAGGTATTTCGAAAATTGAATATTGGTATGAATATTTCTTGAGAATTTGGTGTCAACGAATTCCGAAATGTTTGGTATTTTAATAAAAATTTCTCTAAGCTGTTTTTAAATAAAAATTTTGCTTAAAAATCAGGTTTTGAAGAATTTGATTAACACTTTTACTAAACAATTTAATTTTTGTATTTCAAATTATTCGAATTGAATTCAAACTTTGCTGAATTATGTTGATCTAAATACGAGAGATTCAAATATTGTAATATCTAGATTTTTTTACAAAGCCGACTTAAGCAGTTTATAGCCTCATTATACAATAGAATAATATTATGAATGCTTCAAGCAAATTTCAAATTTTTGTAGTCGATAAATGTCACGAATTAAATAGTTTTAGCTGGTTTTACTTTAAGTATCTAAAAATTGAATTATTTTTAAACACCTAAATTTATATTTGTACATATTTTTAGAATATATTTAGAATATTGTCGTGATTTTAATGCTTTTATCTATATTTGGATAAAATTAGCCCTGTTTGCTGGGGGAAAAATTAAAATAAAATGACAACAATATAAAACAAGGGAAATAAAATTTTTTTTTTTTAAAATATGTGGCACACTAAATTTATATTGGTTTTGTTGATGGGGTCTTGGATTGATTTTTTTTTATCTCTTTTTTTTTTTTTTTTTTTTGTTTAAGTAAAGATTCTTGTCTAAAGTCAAAAAAACTAGAAAATATAGAAAAAAAAAATGATATTCGTTCATTGATCTTTGAGATTTTCTACATACAAATGCACTTCTATGCATTATGTATGTATTTATAATGTATTGTTGAATATTGTGTACATGGAGGTTCACAAAATGCATTCATACTTGAGAAACACAATACTTATACGAAAGATAAATACTTTACTAATTAATAATATTGTTAAATAGTTTAATATGGAAAAGAAAATGGAATTTTGTAAGAATTGAAATTCATGTTTCAATTTTTTTTTCTTTTCAATTTAATTGTAACTATTTTTGTTAGAAAATACAAAAAAAAAAACAGTTCGCATTTAAGGTCTAGACAGACCATTTGTTATTGATTTAAAATTGTAATGAGAAGATGTTATTCGCACTTGCTATCGGATAAAAAAGCTGTGAAATTTTAAGTTGTCAAAATTTTCGGCGTAATATAATATCAAAAAATCTTCTCTTAAACGAAATAACAACAAAATCTATCACAAATTTGCACAAATATTACAACATTCCAAGGCTATACATTAATTTACACGGTTAAGTAAAGACCGTTAATATTAATTAAATAATCATCTGGCAATGACGTTCGAATAAAAATAAATTAAGGAGTAAAGGGGGATTTTTACAAAATTTAAAATTATATTTTTGCACGATTGATTTTATTAAAATACTGCACATCTTCCATGGTTGCGAATCTTATTAAAATTAGAATATAAAAATATAATTTTCTGGGAACTTCATTTATTAATTCCTTCAGTTAGATGCGGCGTATAACGTATAAGTATTTAATTTTTTTAAATTTTTATATCAATATTGAATACATTGATTTATGCAATAATTATATTAATAATAATTTTTACTTTTATTTGATTACAGCACTCAAATTGCGATAGTGGGTACCCAAATGCTGCTTATTATCATGTCTAAAATCCATGTCAATTTGCTATTTCATCACTTACACAAGTTGTATATCCTGACATATAACACATTTGTGTTACACAGCTGAATTGTAACACTGGCTTACATGTGAAGAGCTAATATTAAGGGAAAAGATCGCAATATCAAGTAAGTCCTTTCATATTAAATAAATTTTTTATATATATATTTTTTCTATACAATAAATAAGATATATAAGTAATAATAGTAATTCGAATTCACTTGAATGCCAGTTAGATTTAAATTGAATAATGAAAAGATAAATTGAACAAATTTGACTCGTTGCAATTCTCGTTCAAAATTAGGCTGTTAGATTTTAGTTGGCCGGTAGGTTCGATTTTCAAAAATTTTCCTAATAAAAGTTATAAAATTTCTTGAGATAACTCGTTTTCGGATTTTTTTTTTTAAGGACCGGGAATCCGACAAGACTCATTTTAAATGTCCGTCTAAGATTTTTTTAAATCTTCATATTTGGTCATTTTCAGTTTTTATCATAACAGGTTTGCAAATTCTATTTTAGAAATGAACATTTTTTTATCCCTCTTCACTTGAAGTGCTTCAAAATACATTCAATTTTAGATTTTCGGTTCTTCTCATAGTTCGAAGTAAATGGTAAGTATAGCAGAGTTTTTCGAGATTATTAAAAGTTTGGAATTATAGGCATACATATGTTCACTTAGTTATATATGAGTCTCTATTTTCATGTGGTTTTTGATACATTTGAACGGCCTCTTTACTAATTCAGTATTACAAATTCAATTACTAAATTAAATTAATGTTAAATTCGCATCAAAATATTTGACGGTACTTGAACGTTATATTTATTGCTAATTCTATATGGTCACCTCATTTATTATTCTTCATTTATTTTTTTGTTTTCTTTTGTATTTTTTTTATAGTTTTGTTGAAATTCCCCTGTTTTAATGCTTCCGTAATGAAATTTTTCTCCATATAATAAATATAAGTGTGAAATATGATAAAAGAATTTTTATAATTTCTTCCTTAGGGTCGAAATGAAAGAAATTCGAATCTTTTTAGAAAAACAATTTTTCAAAAAAGAATAAAAAAAATTAATGGCGCTCTTAATTTTCAGTTGTTTTTCAATTTTAAATAATATTTAAATAAAAATTTTTTTTTAGATTTTTATAGTTTAGGAAAATGAAAAATATTTTGTACATTTTGTGGGTTTTGTAAAAGCCCCCCTTGTTTTTAATATTAAAAATATATTCGGTAAAATTGAAAGTTGAACGGTCAATTTACAAAGGCTGCAAGAATATGCGTAAAAATTTATTTATTTTTATTTTAATTTATCATAGATTTTTTTTTTAATTTTAAAATGATTTTCAAATAGAAAACTTTATTTGGGTTCTAATATGGGAGCATTTTTAATTTTGATTGAATTCCTTAACCTCAAATTTTGAATTTTGTACAAAAGCTTGATTGAATGAGTGACAATTTTCGTATTTTAAAAATTATTATACTTCAAGTTTATTACTATTTACGGAAACACAAAAATGTATAGCCTATCAATTTGTCATGATTTTAATATTCCTTCAATAAAATTACTAATTTAATGTATGAGACCAAATCGGTGCGGCGCCTCTTCAATAATCAATTACGATAAATCATTCAAAACAAAAGTATATTATTTTAATTTTCTTTGAAAATTCCCGTCTTATTATTGAAGCGTCATTTAATTTTTTAAAAAAATTATCCGATTTAATTTATTTAATTTACATAAAGAGTGGCTCTAAATAAATTATATTATTATAACCGTTCAAATTAATCTAGATTAATCGAATTCTTACGCACGTTATTAAACATAATTTATATATCGTGTATTTATAGGTATATAAATAAAGTATTTTTATTATTTAAAAATTGGGGCGTCATTTGTTGACGTGCTTTTTAACCATTGTTGTGCTAAGAATAAAAAGTTTCAATGTAAATTTTTCAATTTTTAGCAAATATATAACAAAATAGAAAGAAAATGTGCCTATTAATCTCATTCTGTTCGTCTGTACGTTCATTCCTTGTAAGCAGACACAAAATTTTCTACACTCTTTATAGAAAGCTGAAATTTTATGTATGTAAATGAGAGAGAGAATATTTTCCTGCGAAATATGTATAGAAAAAATTTTTTACCCTGTTTCGCCCGGAAGTTTTTACCAACACGACAAATTCTAAGATTTAATTTGAGTCGGATGAAGTCGTATTTGTCGAACTTTTTAGGACAAAAATGGCGATATTTGATTTTTCAGCAAAGTTCTGAGCAGCGATCAGCTTAGGTTTATTTTTTTTTTTTTTTTTGTAATTTTCTTAGTATATAGTTAAATTTTGACATAAAGTCTGAATTCTCATATAACTACAGTCTGATATTTAAAAAGTCATTAGTCTTTATCATAGATTTGATCTTCAATTTTAAAACAAAATTTGTTTAAATTTCGAAAAAGCAGAGAAAAAAGGTGGCTTTCATATTCTACTGTGAAACAACAGTTTATGCAAAAGTGGCAGAACGATCATTGAAATTAATCGATTTTCGAGTTTTGACTTTTTAATTTTCATCCGAACATGTTCCGATTTTCGGGTTATGACTTCTCAGATTTTTCTAATTTTGTATTATCCTAAAATTATGCAATAATTATGATGTATCGGAGGAGAACACATATAATAAACAGAAAATCATTTTGAAATTCAACAAAGAATTTTTGCTTCGAAATGTTCTACATTACAAACCTTTAATTTAATATGAATTTACTAAAATATGTTTCTTCAAGTACAATTAGCTATTTTCCGTCTAAGTGTAAACCTATAACTTTTAATGCAAATTTTACGCTACAAATAAATAACTTTTTTATAAAATATGAAAAAATCAAAGAAAAAAAAATAGTTTAATAAAGTTTAATGATCGGAATATCAAATGAGTGTCTATACTATATAAGTTAATTAATTATTTCAATCACGATTATACTTACTATAATATGTAATCATGTAAGTACAGTGGTATACTAGTAAACAGTTAAATATTTATTATTAATTTATAAATTGTTCAAATTGTGTCTGGTGTCGCGGGAATCAAAGAATGTCTATAATATTTTTAAGGTTTGTGCATTTAAAAAATATAATTAATAGCACAAGTCTATGGTAAAATTAATGAATAACGTTATTGATTATAAATAATTTATATTTTTTAATTATATATATCTATATATATATATGAGTAAGATAAAACAGTTTCAAGTCAAAATAATAAGAAAATGGAATATTAGAGCATTTAAATTCTCTGTGCTCAAAATCTATGATCCAGTAAAGTTTGGTTCAAATCAGATAATCAATAATGGTGATTAAATTATAAATTTCCAAAAAAAAAAAATGGCCAAATTATTTCTGGCGCTTTTCCCTTAGGGACCGGACGAGACGGGACGGCTCCTTTCCGTCCGTGTGTCTGTTTACAAAATTTTTATGCCCTTTAAGACATAAAGTTAAGATTTTATATACAAATAGATCTTTACTAAAAGTTCACTTCTATAGAAGAAAAATTTTACAACATAGCATTATTTGAATCTCTCTCTAGAAATTATAGAAGGTTTATCCTAAACATTCCGATATTTGACTATTTATTGCCTCGAAACCACAAATATGATTTTAAAAACTTTAGTAAAATATTGAAATGACAAAATTTTCGATATTGTTTCTCTTCTGAATGGTAAATTGTAAAAGTTTCAAATTTTACCAGCTTTTAGTAACAAATAAATAGTTTATTTCGCTTGAAGAATATTTATTTTCACCTCCACTTCCTCCCAAGGAAGGTGATTACTCTCGAAATTAGTAAAATTTGATTTTTAAGATTTTTATGTTTCCGAAATTAGAATCTTATCGAAATTTCTGTAAAAATAAAAACGTAACGATAAATAAAATGTCATCAAAATATATATGTAGTTGTTTATCGTAAAACACCTACTAACTGTCCAATTCGATCATTTTGTTAATGTTTCTTTCAATTTTTGTTTTGTTCATCCTGAATGTATGCAATATTTTAATATATTTTAATATATGAATGAAAGTAATTTTAAATAATTTAATTGGTTTAAATAAACTAATTGTTTTAAAAATTCAGTCTATTTGAAAATGGAAACTTGATATTCGAAGTAGATATTTCAAATAATAAAAATCAGTTTACCTTCTTCTTGAATGCTCAGGCCCTGCGATTCCTATAGGGTTTTTAAAAAGTTTTGAACTATGTATGCACTTATAATTTTAAAATCTTACTTTGAATAAAGTTTATTTATCCTACATGGATATTTCAATTTCGGTAAAAATCAAGACAATTTTTCATAAATACAAAATAATTTTTAATTGATGTTCGAAAATTTATACTTTATAGCTGAATAGAATAATTCACGTTTATAGGCTTTTAATAGTTTAACTCCAGTTTCATCTTTTAAGTATTAGGAAATATTGCTGTTAGATATTCCAAAATCTTCATGAATTTTGGTTATAATAGTTCCAAATGTTTTGAATATTGTAAAAAAATTTTCAAAATTATTTATTATGTGTTTACATTTAAAATAAACATGAAACCACAAAATTATTATGATTTATGAAATTTCAAATATTTTATCGAATTTTAAATAAAAAGCATTGCTAGTTTCAGATATTTCGAAAAAGCATTTATGTTCTCTTAATTACCGTTTAATATTAACAAACATTAATTTTTAGTTCAAAATTCTTTTAAAATGATAATAAAATTTTCCAAAAATATCCGAAATCCCTAAATATATAGCATAAAATTCTATTTTATTATAATTTAAATATGGAAAAACAATTTTATTCAAATACTACAATAGAATTTCTATTTTCTATTAAAGAATCATAAAAGAAAAATAAAGAAGAAGAAAAGCAGTCTGTGTAAGAAAACGCAATAAAATGTGGAATTTTTATGGAATCGAATTAAGAAGACAAAACATTCTTCTACTTAAATACAGAATAAGTACTCTTATTACATACATACATATGGATATGTTATGTATATGTATATGATATTCGACATACATTCTAACAAAACCGTCTCCATGATCGTTGCACATAAAATTTACAAAAAAATTTACAACTACAATTAAAAAGAGAGC